TGCCAGGATGGAGGCGGCTTCCCTGCAGTACATCATCTGCCCAACCTCCCAGTGTCCTGCTGGGACTCACTAGCCTGCGACTTCACTGCCTGTTCCTGTCTGCCGCCCTTTATTTTGGAATTGATTTCCCTGTCCATGAGCCACATGCTGGGCTACCCTCCTTGGTTGCTCTCCAAGAAAGGCTGCAGGAGAGGGTTCTTACTGACCGGGGTTTGGAAGGGCAAGAGCAGCTTGAGGGTGGGCCCAGGCTGAAGCTTAACCCAGCCAGGTCCAGGGCTTGCCGGGGACACAGCTCACCAGTCCTCTCCACTTACCGGAAATCCAGGAAAACCTCGAGTGCCCGGCTGGCCCTGAAAAGAGCAGGAGAGGAGTGAGGATGGGCGAGGAGGAGAGGAAGCCAAACATTACTCCCTGGTTCACTTTGGCTCCCAGAGAGTCCATGGTTTCTCTCCCACTCCTCTGTGATCGTCCATGGGAGACACTGGCTGGGAGGGAGGATGGAGAAAGATGGAGATGGACCATCATAGGAAATCTCCTCCAGGGACCGGGGGTGGGGCAGGGAAAAGCAGGTGGCCAGCATCCTTTGGATCTTTCTGGGAAGTAGCCCCTGAGAGTTTCTCACTGCCCAGACACTCTGAACCTCGACATGTGAATAAGATAGAGAGCAAGGACCGCGGGGACTTGGCCCACAGCATGCTGGACTCCTGGACTGTGACTGTCTAAGTCCTTTTCATTTACACAGCCATTGCTCACGGCCATTTATCTGAGGATGGTTTGGATGTCAGAACATGGCCTTAGGAATGTGTTTTCAGGCCAGAACAGGTCAGGTGGCTCACTGTCCTCTCACGCTGGCTAGCAGCTCCTGGTGGGGCAATCCCTGGATGCCCCAATCTGGGTGGAAGGCAGAGCAATCACGCCCATTTTCCCAGAGGTGCAGAGTGCCACAAACGACAGCGTTCAGGCTGGAGATTAGAAGCTGGTTCACTGGCTACAGCCCAGTGGCTTAAGGCCCAGATTCAGGGCAAAAGAGATGTGTGGACAGGAGAAAAAGCGTGAGGCTGTGCAGATGCACAGGGCTGGGGCCAGCTGATCAGGAGATTCTAGGAAACATGGGTCCTGGCACTCCCCTTCTCATGAACCAGCAAGTGTTCCTTTCTGTTCATATATCATTCAATGTCATCCTCAGTCTCATCCTGATCCACCATTTTGGTTCCCTTCCAGCCTTATCTTCCCACCTACTCTGTGCTCAGGCACCCTGGTGCATCTGCCTTTCCCTGGTCACACCACATCCTTCATATGATTAGCTCTCAGCTTGGTGTCTCCCCTTCACTGAGATGATCTCGATCTTTTCCCAAGCTTGGGCTTTTGAGCCTGGCCGACTGAGTTCTAATCCTGCCTCCACCACCACTGATGGCTGTGTGATTCTGAGCAAGTTACTTAAACCTCCCTGTGCCTGTTTCCTCATCTATAGGATGGGGATAACAGTATAAATTCTTAGGGTCATTCAATTATATCTGTAAAGCCTATTGAAATGGTAGCTGCTATCATTGGATGTTTATTTAACTGAACTGAACCTAGGAGTACCAGCATAAAGCAAGGTGGCTTTTGAGCCAGTACGTCTTAGAATCTATGAAGATTTATCCTTATCAAGCAGTAGTTTCAGAATAAGACCTTGCCTAGAGGAAGACTTCTCTGGATCCATTTGCTATAAATCTGAAACATCTCCAGCCTCCTTGGGTCCTCCTTGAAGCCATGGACAAGAATGCCCAGAGGCCTCTGCTCAGCAGACATGCTCAAGGGACATGGGTAAGTGGGATGGGGGCCTTGCTGTCAGGGTGGGTGCACTGGTCATGCAGGGAGCGAGCTGGAGTATGCTGTGGGCCCAGGATGGTCTTGTGGCAGGCATCCAAAAGGGCAAGAGGGTGGAGATGCCACTCATGTACCAGAAGGGCCCCAGGCTTCTCTCCTCTCAAGGATAAGTGATGCTAAGAATAGCACTAAGGAGAAAACCTGGAAACCCCCCAGTGTAAACTGTCAGCCACTCTGAATGCTGAGAGGCCTGAAGAGAAGGTCAGGAGGACAGGATTCCAAGAAACATCTTCAAGTCCCACTCCTGGTAATGTTTACACGGTAGGGGTAATCACATGGCTGGCTGATTACAGAGCTGGCCCTGGTCAGGACACATCTCTCCAGCCCAGAGCCAAATCCAGGGCTAACCAAGGCTTTTTCAGGGATCTTGGGAAGAATGTTGTCATTAACCAAATGGAAACTGGGACTCCACTTCCTGGAGAAGTTGGGCCGCGTGAGGCACTCGGAGACGCTTGGAACCGGATTTCAGTTTCCATCTCTTCACATCTACGCTGAAGGTGGACATCTCCTCCAGTGTTTACTGACCGGTTCTATTTATTTGTGAACTGCCTGTTCGTATTCTTTATCAGTAATTCCTACTACATTGTTTATCTTTTCCTACTGATTTGAATAATGCTCTCTGTCAAGAATAGTAACTGAGTCATACATGTTCCAAATATTCTTTCCAACTTGGCATTTGTCTTTTTTACGGTAGATTTTCTGTCATAGGGAAATTCTACACCGATGTCGACAAACTTACCAATCTTCTCCTATGGCTTCTGGGTTTTATGTCATCCTCCGGGAAGCCTTCCCTGACTGCCCTCACCCCAAGTCAGGTGCCTCCTCCGGGTCCCCACAGCTCCCTAACCATCCCTGGCTGAGAGCTGACTGTCTGTACTGGATTCACTATGGGACTGCTTCTCTGCAAAGGGGCCAGCAGCCTGCAGTCAGGTTTCCATCATCTGCCCAACACCTAGGATGCAGTAGGTGCCTGACAAGTATTAATGGAATGAATAAATGAAGAAACACTCAACAGGGGTATCGACCTGGTGTGGGATGTCTCCTTGTGAATGAGGGCTGGAAGTTCTGACAGCTCCTCCTGGCCCCTGAAGAGAAGCTGGGCAGGTGGGGGGCTCCAGGAAGGGATGAGCTCCTTTTGAGATGGGGGGGTGGGGGGCAGATGACCTTCCTAGTGCCTGCTGGGCCAGCCTGCATCTAAAGCTCCAGCCTCCATCTCCAGTTTAATCGGCATATTGCTCCAGCATCTTGCCTCGTTGGAATGTGAACCATCCTTCTCTAAAGGGCCTGGAGGGATCCCCTTTTGCACACACCATTTCTGAAGCTTCAAGAGAAGGGGCAAGTGGCCTCTGTGAGCGGCAAGGCTGGTTCTCATTAGCAGCATGGATTTTGGGCCCTTCCTGGCTGAGTGAAAAGCCACATGTTCCCCATCATCCCTGGCCGCAGAGAACTTGCCCACTTGACCTCTACCTCTTAATTGCAATTGGCCCCTTGGTCTTCTGCAGTCCCTGCTCTCACCAGCTCCGGGTGGCTTCCTGGGAGGAACTGAGGGGGCTGCTCTGGTGTCTAGTGAGGCCTCGGCAGGGGTGGCCCCAGTCACCTGGGTGATGGTCACACACGCAGGCTAAAGTCGGAGGGTGCTGGGCTTGGTTGAGCCTCCTGGTGCCATAATGCCTCTCCCAGCACCAACACAACATGCAAAGGGAGGAGTTTTTCCTCCTTAAGGTAAACATGCTTTTTAAACAGTAGAGCTTAAACCATAGATGGGGGTGTTGGGGAAAGAATGCTGGTTTTGGAATGAGGCCAACTGGGCCCAAACCAAGCTCCAGCATGGACGAGCTGGGTGTCCACAGGCTAGTTATGGGCCTCTGTTTCCTCCTCTGTGAAACAGGCTGACAGGGCCTGCCTCACAGCTTTCCCTGGGGGACTGGAGACCAGCACATATATAGGCTTCAGCATAGGACCTAGCAAGTCTCCCAGGTGTCCAGGAAATGGAAGCTATTGCTGTTACCAGAACAGAAGGGACTTTTCACCATGAGAACCAAGCCCAGCTCGGGAGGTGTGATTATGCACGCTGCGCTGGAGGCCGGGGGAGCTGAGGCAGACCCTGCCCCCGAGCATATTCTCCAGAAGTGGGGCCTTTCAGTCACTTCTAGGTAGCCTGCTGACATCACACTGCTGAAGGATGCTGCGAAGGGAGTGTTAGTGGTCCACACAATGGAACATATGTGGTCAGATCAGGAGGCAGACAGAAACGGTGGCCAAAGCATAGGGCCTGCATTCTGTGTTACACCCCTGTCCTCCTAACAGGACCACCCCCAGGCTCAGTCCTTGCTGTTAGAACCTGGGGGACT